TGTGAGTTTATCTGATTTTAAAGGTATAAATAGGATGGCTTCGTGCTGAACGTTTTTGTCTTTAAATCTCTTAAACACTAGCTACATCTAACTGAAGAGTCCCAAATAGGACGAAATCGATCTTAGATTGCTAGCTCGTTAGTTACCCTTAAATCCTTGCCCTATTGAGATATAACCTTATATAGAAATGACCAAATTAAACCTAATCCCGGCCGATCTCAGCTGTAAATCTTAGCTAGAAATCTCAGTTGATGATCTCGGCTACTGATCTTAGCTGCTGATCTCGGCTGCTGATCTCGGCTGCTGATCTTGGCTGCTAATCTCAGCTGCTGATCTTGGCTGCTGATCTCGGCTGCTGATCTTGGCTGCTGATCTCAGCTGCTAATCTTAGCTGCTGCTAATCTCAGCGCTAATATTTTCAGAAATTAGTTACTTTTTTCTTTGTTATTTTACTAGTAGAAAATTTTATATATAAGCATGTAGTTTTTTCCACTATATTTTTCTTTGCGAAATAACTGATGAGCTTTATAATAAAGCAAAAGTATACTATTAATAAACTTTACATAAAAATAACTCTAATCTTTAATAAAAACTTATATTCATTTATAAATAAATGTCTAAAAAAATCTTTGATAATTACTTCGAAAATTTGGATAAAATACCCTCATTAAATGGAGAAATTACAAACTTGCAGGCTAAATTAATAAATGAATTTGATAAACTTAAAGAGTTAGATTCTACTAGCCCCAAATATGAAGAACTTTGTCTAGATATTAAAACTGATAATATAATACTTGAAAAAATATACTTTTTCGTTAATATTAACACCATTGAAGGAGATAAATATATCGAAGAAAAGTTTAATCTCACATATAATATAACTAAATACCTCCTAGAAATAAAGAAAAGTAGACTTTCCGATACTCTATATAACCCTATACAGACTAATAGCATTAATAAACAACTTAAAAATGCATTAAACAACACATTTTATTAATTAACGCCATTTAAAAACATGTATTACTA